GTTTACAAATAGTCTAAACTCAAATGACAGAATTTCCAGACATTCAGATTGAAACCAAAATTTAGTTTCCATATCGAAAAGTGAAGTCCGAAAACACCTGGGAATTTAATGCCAAGCTAAACAGTCTTGCTGTACCTTGCCCTGAAATGTGATTAATGGTCACACCTTTTGGGAATTACTGGAGGAACAATAACATGATGAAAGGGGTTTTGTTTTATTGTTGTGTTATTATATTGTGGGTGTCAGATTTATCAGCTGAGTGTTGATTATTAGTTTGTTCCTTCTTCCTCCTTATAGTGGATATTTATTTAAAGGTGAAGAACCAGCATCATGCCTTACTTGTCAAACTAAAATGACTGTGAAACATATTTTATTGGATTGTAATGGTTTTAATGTAAATAGAAAACGGTTTTATTCAGAGGTGTGTCTAACTGATTTAGCATATTTAAAAATGTATCACCTGAATGAATTTTAGAATTTTTGTCTAGTGTACATCTGAGATTTCTTTTATAACCTTTTGTTAATTGTATACCTTGTATAATTTATTCAGAGATCGCCATGAAAATAGCCTTGATGCTCATGCTGGCATGGTGTTAAAAAGTGAATACATTTATAATTAAATCCTCTTTATAGTCATGGTAGTAAGACTAAATGAAAGCAAACTACTTTTTCTGTTTTATAAAGATTGTTTACATAAACTAATTCAAAATCATTTCATACCTCTTTAAAAAATACTTTTAAATGGCAAGGATGCAGTAACTGATCAAGTGATAGTAAACACTTTTACATTGTTACAAAAAATCTATTTCAAATAAATGCGTTTTTTTTTAACTTTCCTTTCATCAAAGAATCCTGAAATGTATCTAAAATGTATCATGGTTTTTCTACAAAAATAAGCAACACAACTGTTTTTAACATTGATGATAATTAATGTTTCTTGAGCTCCAAATTAACATGTTAGAATGTTTTCTGAAAGATCATGTGACACTGAAGACTGGAGTGATGGCTGATATGAAAATTCAGCTTTAACAGCACAAGAATACATTTTAAAATATATTGGAATAGAAAAGTGTTATTTTAAGTTGTAATAATATTTCACAAAAATAGTGTATACTGTATTTGTGAACAAATAAATACAGCTTTAATGAGCATAAGAGACTTCTTTCAGAAATATAAAAAAAAAAACATACTATCCCCAAACTTTTGAACAGCAGTGTGCATATAAGAATTTTACACTAAGACCTTTTAAAGCATTTATACTAATATCTAATAACTACACATCGCAATAAATGTTTTTCAGGAATCCCAGGACACAAACTCAAACCCAGTGCGGAAAGAGGAGGCCAAATTGAAAGCAAAGTATCCCAGCTTGGGTCAAAAGCCAGGTGGCTCTGACTTCCTGATGAAGAGACTGCAGAAAGGGGTAAGTTTAAACATTTCAACAACTGAAAAAAGCATGTTTTTAAAGGCATTCATTCATACAGATTTTTGACGTTCCAGGTGTTTGCAACATAGCCAAAACAAACACAACCTTTTTATTATTTCATAAAATTTCAATGCATTTTTTGTCTCCAGCAAAAATATTTTGACTCAGGAGATTACAACATGGCCAAGGCAAAGATGAAGAACAAACAGTTGCCTGCCGCAGCCGGGTCGGACAAGAACATCGTCACCGGGGATCACATTCCAACCCCTCAAGACCTTCCGCAGAGAAAGTCCTCATTGGTAACAAGTAAACTGGCAGGCTAACGTCACCCATAGGTTTTGAATAAACCCTCTTACCAAACTTCCAAAACCTCCCCAGCCCCGCCAGACCAGCTTCATCAGACTGGTTATCAATTTATGTGGTTGTATCTGTTTTCATTTGGGTGTAGAGTTTTGCTGTCATTTTCGTTTCACTTCAGTAGGTCTAACCAACCCAGGTCTGTTACCCTTTTCAGTGTCCCACATAGAGTGCACATGCACTTTACTCTGTGTACCCTGTACATCAGTGATATTATGAACAAAACCCTGAAGACTTCATAAAATGCTGTTCAAAAGATGCTTTTAAAAGTGTCAAATAATTTGAAAATGATTTAAGATTGTTTTAAAAGGCATTGTTTTCTATATAGATAATACTTGACAGCCATTGGCCCCAGATGTACATTGGCAGCCCTCTTTTTCATTCATAATGACAAATGAATGAATGTTTTATGATAATTTCTTTGAAAAAGTCAGTGAACAAATGGTCAGAGCAATTTTGGTAAAGAGTGGCTGGCAGCTGTGTAGCCTTCATCCACTCTTCTACCTCTCACTCTCTAAATATGGCTCAGTTGAACCAAATAACGGCTGCTTATGACTGGATTGTTTTACTATTCTCAGCCTTCACCTTCCATGGAAGGATCTGAGCAAGCGGTTCCAATCAGGCTGATTAGATTATTGTAATCGCAGCTTTTGGGTGTAAACAGAGAATGTTGTAATTCACTGATAATAGCCAAGAACAGAAATGGTCTTTGAATGTGGCATGATGATGAAAGGGGCTTAAGAAAATGATCTTGTCATCGCACAAAGCATGCGTTAAAAGATAAAGTATGTTCATAGAAAGTAGTGGCTATATGTGTTAAATCATTAGGGCATCTGGAGTCATTCAGCTTTTATGTACACTAACAGCAGTGTTTGTTAATGGGATTAATGTGCGATATTTTGTGATATTTCGACGCATATGTAATGTGATGCACATGACCTCTTTGATCATCTCAGATAATGACGACGTAATCATCTTGTCCATCTTAACCAAATTAGTCGATTTGATCCTAAATATCTTTGTGTTTTGAGGAATGAGATGCGGAAGGAAATTTGCAGAATTGAGCAGCACCTTTGGTTCAATATTTGTAAAATATTTCAGATCTAAACAGTAAAATTCTCTACTTAAATTTGGAAAAAGTTACGTTTAAACATATAAAAAGTATTGGAAAACATTACCCATAGATTGCTTTGACATGCAGCTTATTATCGGGTTTCAAACCAACAGCAGTTATACAAATGACTTTAGGGAATATTATATCCTGTAACCCATTTGTTTCCTCAATTTTCTCATCATTTAGCAAAGTGTCCTTCTTCAGAGGGCATGAATCGATTATCCTCTGTAGCTTCTTCAGAGTCTGAAGAAGTCTGTGCAGGGCTGTTGTAAATCATTGGAAACTTTGTAGTGGATCTTAACAGCTCATTTATTCCAGGCTGTAAGACTTTGTACACTCCTTACAGAGTCCTAGTATGAGGATAGATACTTTACAGAGCAAATCTAGACTCAACCTAGGCAGTCAATCCAGGTGTCTAAGTCAGGATTTGCTAAGTCTAATCAAGTTGCCCCTTCTAAAACCACATACTCGCCTACATGTGGCCTGAAGATTTAAAAGAAAATGTGTTTAGCCATGTGAAGTTAACAAAAACATGTATATTAATGGTAAAAAATAAAATAAAATACTGTACTATCACTATGTAAATCTCACTAAAAGGTGAATTACATGTAAGGGATTGAGTGTGTTTTTTCATGTATGGTTGAGGTGCTGGTGGCAGTTGGCAATACATCAGGGAAATATGATGGTCTTGCACTTAGTTTTTGTCACTTGATGGTATGTGTGGATGTACAATGTTTCCTTTGAGGAATGCGTTATTGCACAATGCTAGGAGATAATATTTTGTGCTGCAGCCAAATTGTAAATAGTCAAACTGTGCATCTGGTGTCATATTTGTGCATTTTGTCTTGCATTATCTGTCTCAGTTGTCTTTCCAATATACACCAAGTTTGTGTTTTATCATTTATTTGTTAATATTGTGTGTCTGAATCTCTCTGCTTTTTGATGCAACATATTGACAAGAATATCATCAATTCTAGTGTGAGAAATGTAAATATTGGGGATTAGAAATGCTTGTATTGTAATTAAAGACAGCTTTTTAATTGGCTGGAGTAAATTCAGACAAATCTGAACTGAAAACCTTTCCACTATACACTGCAATGTGATATTCATGGTAAATACATATTAACTCTAAATCTACAATTTAAAGTGCTCTCTATTAGACACACAAAGATGTATTCTTTGCATACTTTATGGAGCTTTTAATGTTTAATTATTTTATTTTTGTGCCCCATTTATATATTCTTTATTGTTTCAGATGTTTTGCTTGAATTACTTTGTGTTTGAAAGTGGATTTCCAGAACTTTCCAGAGTTATCTGGTCTCTTACAATTATATTTACATGATGGAAGGATGGCGGATCACGCAGTAAAGATAAATGTTTAAAATTAATAGTGGAGCTATGTCTGAACTTCAAATAAAGTTTTACATTAATAACAAAACCACTGAGTGGTACTTTTTAATTTTTCTAACGAAGTGTAAACGTCCATATGTGTACTTTTGTGATATTAAAAACTTATTTCTATTATAGTGTAAGTAAATCGTGTCTACTAGTTGCCAGTGTGCTCATTTCTATCTTGTTTGCCAAATTAAATGGGGCTCTTCGAAAAATGTAAACTTATCCTTGAGAAATATGAAGCTTTGGCTGCTTGCAATTTGCTTTTCTGTTCTACAACTATTTCTCACTAGAGGGAGCGCCACTCTTTGAAAAGCTGAAAGCGGACCAAGAAAAGAAAAACGGTGGAATTTTTAAACCCAAACATAAGAATACAGATCTTGTTTTCATGAACATCTCTGGTCGTTCATAAACTATGGTCGTTAATCCTACCAAATACCTAGCTGTGACACATTTTGACATCAAATTATTTTAAATAGCCTATTATTGCCTCTGCTGATGTAAACCCGGTGCCGTTTTACGAAGAGAATGTAAACATAATATTATTGTGACATATTTGGGGGCTTTACACGAATGTGGGGCGCATTTAACGTGCAGAACCAGTTGTATCTAACGTTTCGAAAGCGCAGCTGCGTTCAGTACGTGTTTCGTCAATGATTGGTCTACAGGCAAAAAGTCCCGCCCCCTGTAGGCATATATATAAACAGTGCAAGCTTCTCCCAAACGCTTCCGCCTTGCGAAAGTAAAATGTAGTAGATTTGAGTGTAGTTTCAATTTCGAAGGACGTCGTTTCCTACCAAATAAGTTACATCGTCGATAAATTGAATTAAAAGCATTAATGTGAATTAGCGAAAATGTTCCCTGGGAGTAAAGTTTCAAACGACAGCGGCTTTTGGCCATGCATTGGAATAGCAGCTCTTAACGTCAACAACAGCTCGAGCGGGTTTAGTCGCAAGCCACTTGTAATGCCAGAACTGAAAGCCCAGAACCAGTTCACAGGGAACGGTCTCCAAGGCTCGGTACCATCCTCGCCTGAGACGGACTGCGAGGAAATAGATGATTACACCTCCATCTACGCCGCCCTGGAAATGGACACGCGAGAGATTATTGACGCTTTCTTAAAAAGCTTTACAGGACTCTCTCATTATAAAAGTGGAAAAAAACAGGTTCTGTCTACGATGAAGGGGGTTGTGGACAGTCTCGCGGTGAAGCACGAACTGGCTTACAAAGGTAATTTCACAAGTACTTCCTTGTAGCAAGTAGCGCTCTACGGCTTTCATTTCGCTTTGTTTCATAATGTTTATGGGTTGATAAGGCAAATATTGTTAAAGAGTCTTATGGCAGCCTCACCCTCAACACACCTGGCCTGGCAGGTTGCGCCACTTCATGCCATGTATGGCTACATTTATGAGTCAGCAGTGGCCTTTAACATTTCACTCTTTTAGGTATGATTGCACGGCTGAATCTGGAGCAGAAAGGAGAAGATGTGAGGTTTGTCAAGACTGTGGCAACAGAACTCTTCAGCGATGGCATCACAAACTGGGGGCGCATTTGCAGCCTGCTGACTTTTGGGGCAATGGTATGCAAGCATCAAAATGATAGAGGACTTGGCAAGTGTGTGAGTCTGGTGGGGGAAGAGATCTCTTCCTATCTTCTCACAGACCAACGGGACTGGCTGCTCAAAAACAAAGCATGGGTGAGTTTTTATTTCCCCATGACAGGACTGCATATGCTCTTATTTTGAGTTTTCCTTGGTTTGTAACGTGTACTCACCTGGTGTATGTATATTTTTCTCCTCAGGATGGCTTTGTGGAATTTTTTCATGTCCCGGATACAGAGGCAGCTATGAGAAGCACATTGATGGTCATTGGTGGTGTGGCAACATTCGGAGCTGCTCTTGCTTATTTGATACGGTGAATCGAAATGGACTTTGTGACAGATATTGAAAAACAAAAAGGACTCCAAGTTAACTTTTTTTTTTTTTTTTTCTTGGAAACGTCTAAGAGAAATCAGTTTGCTTTTTGTTTTCAATATTTTGTCTTTTTTGGATGTCAAGTGTACATAAAAACTTGTTCAAATCAAAAACTATTTTTTTATTAAAAATTAAAATTTAAAATGTTCAGATCTCAATTGTTGATGTGCAGGTAAAACTTTCAATGCCAGTTTTTGTGTGCAGTTTACACAAGAATCACATGTTAAATTGTCATTACACATCCAGCAGTGTTCTGTATGCTAGAGATATACTTGGCTAAAATGGGAATTTTGAAAAAGCCGTACATTAAAAGTCACAACTATTTGGTGCAACCGATTTAAAAAAAAAAACACTGTAATTAGCCATTTTGGTACAACCCTTTCACATTTTCACGATTTCACTTTTTCAGAAATATTCTTTTGCGATATAGTGCACATGTATCCACACGATTTCAGGTGCTGGCTTTAGCTTTAAGTAAGCTTTAAAGCTTTTATCTAAAAGCTTATGTTGGTTCTGTTTTTTGAGTCCTAAGCTTAGGACTATGATAGCTAACCACAAGGCTACTAAATGTTTTCATTACCTGCAGATTGACCTTTTGGATACACTGAGAAGTTTGAGAAGTCATGATCATTGATCTTTTTCTGTGAATACTGTTTTCTAAACTGCAAATTAAACCTTGTTTTAATATTCTTGGTTAATTAATCCCTCACCACCATTAAATGTGTGGCTAGGTAAAGTACAAACTGTATGTGCTTTATTTAGCTAATCATTTGTAGCTTCAAAGGTTTTCTAGCTTTTCATCTTACGTGTTGTTATTATAGCAGATTTGTGTAAATGGTTAGAGTTGACAATTTCTGTGTATGCTCTCATTCACTGTTATTGCGGCCTTGTGAAAAAGTTGCACTATGCTGTCGAAATATTTTAGGAAGTTTGTCAGTCACAAAGAAACTCACTGATGTATGTGAACACCATTCAAGGGGGGAGGGGGATCTTATTTCAAAGAGTTGATTTTGTTTGCTTAGTCATGTTGTTCAATCACACTGTACCAACTGTAAGACCCAAGCATATTAATACTTCATATACAAACCCCTTGCCATCTTTCTAGCTTTTGCCATAAAGGGTTTGTAACCAAATCCACCAGCCACTGATGTCTATGATTATCTGTACGACTGAGTATCTTGACTGTAATCCTGGCTCAAAATATATTTTTATTTTGTCACCTATAATCTGTCTTAAATTATTTTATTCTGAGAAACAAATAATAGCACAAAATATGAATTCCTTTCCAGCTGCTCAATGTGGAGCAGGAAGCATGACGTAAATATGACCTCAGTATTTGTCATTGTGTTCTGATCCTTATACAGAGGAAGTTTGTCAATTGATTTCTTAATCTCTTTGTTTGCTGTACTTTTAGCCTGAAGCTGCTGGATGTAGCCAGTTTGGTTTGATTTCTAATGTGGAAGTAATGGTTGTTAACATAATGTTTGTTAACATCATGACTGTCACACGGTTTGTGTGATTTACTTTACTGACTCTGTGCTTTCGTACAGTGAGTCACTTTTTAATGCTGAATGGCCAGAGTTTTAAAATCACATGAGGCTTAAAGAAACCTCAGCAGCTTATATTGTTTAAAAAAAAAAAAATTCTCGCTGAAATTGCTTTGAATGAAATCATATGTTAGTGGCTTACATGGTAATGTCCACTTCCTTAGTGAATGACATCCTTTCCAGCTGCTATAAGAGGTCACAGGAAATGTCTCCATAGTAGAATGGCAATTCATAATGCATTGACATTCTGGAGATATCTTAAATACTTTGCATGTGTGTATCTTATACCCTTGATAAGGAAAGGCCAGTTAAAGAAGGAAATGTCATGAACCACGAGCAAGGCAGTGGGACTCCAGTGATGGTCCAGTCTATGAACATCTGCCAGAGAACCTATTTAATTTAGAATACAGCCTGTATAGGCTTATAGGAAGAGATGTATTTGAGACACATTGTATGTATCATGGTTTATGACACTTGTGCTCAATGCTGGCGGTAGAAATAGTTTTCAGTGGGCTTAAACAGTTTATTTCATTAGCATTTCCACATTTGACAACTTGATGCTAGAAAAAAGCTGTCAAAAAAGTTGTCATTTACTCACCGTCATTTTGTTCCTGCATGACTTTCTACTCTAGAAGACGAAGATATTTTGAAGAATGTTTCAATGCTTTTTTTTCATACAACGAAAGTCAATGAGGCCAAATTACCATTGGACTGTTTTTACTTTCATAAACAAAAGTACACAGACATTTTTCAAAATATCTTGTTTTGTGAAAGACTTTCAAATATGACAGAAGCAATGATGACAGAATTTTAATTTTGAGTGGACTACCCCTTTAACTCTTGAAGCCAGGAATTTGCTTATCAAAACATCTTATACAGGAATTTTAACCTTTTTTTTTTTTTTTTAAAGTCCAGGATATCCTGCTGGAAAATCAGATTAGCCTGCATGCTTAAAACATTTCAAAGTTGATTTGCAAAAGAATCTCCTGACAGAACACAGTTTAGTCCTTCATTAGGAAGAAGTCTGTATTGGTTTTTCTGGCTAAGCTGGACAATATTTGTGCGAGTGTTCTTGTTTGCTCAGATTGGCTTCGTGTCTGGTTACAGGCCATCCGTGGGGTCTAATGAGGACTATGGTAATGACACACAGGGCCTCACCTGATCCTCCAGCTTACTGTGGCAGCACCTGCTGTGGTTACCTGAGCCAGGCAGCACATGGCTGTTAAACTCAGTGGAATACAGGTAAAGCCATGTGACAACACATGTACTAATCTGTACAATCTTGTTCTATGGTAGTTCATGGATCGTTCTATTTTTTTTAAAGTATCACACAACAGATATCTGTAGTGAGAGATTAAAAGCCATTTGTGATAGATTTATTTGCTTGGCCAGTGTTTTTGCAGTTGTAGGCTCTTAGGCTTTTTAAAATAACTGAAATAAATTGGCAAAGTGATATGAAACAGTGCTGGTGGCCCTGCATTTACCCATCATTGAGCTGTTTAACTTCATCAAAGTTTTCTTTATTTCCTTTTTTATGTCGTTCCCAGTGTGTATGTGAATCTAAAGACCCTAAATAAATTTGCGAAGTGATATGGAACTGTAATGTGGTCAAAACTGGAACTACTTCAACCGTGCAGTTATTGAAAAACATTAAAGGGGTCATATGATGCGATTTCAATTTTTCCTTTCTCTTTGGAGTGTTACAAGCTCTTGGTGCATAAAGAAGATCTGTAAAGTTGCAAAGACTAAAGTCTCAAATCCAAAGAGATATTCTTTATAAAAGTTCAGAGTCAGCCACACCTACCTAAAATGGCTCGTTCTAACATGCCCCCACATATCTACCTCACTATGTGGGAAGATTTGCATAACGCCGCCCAAATGTTCACGCAAAGAAAGAAGGCGTAACTTTTAGTCTCACTGTAGTTTTGTTGACGCTATGCTTCGTTGTGAAAGCGAAACTACTTTGTAGTTTCCAAAAGAGGACGATATCCGCTTCGCCATGCCTAGAGCTGATCCGTGCTGGTCGCTGAGGAAATACAACAAATTTGCGCTGTGGATCACCGGATCGGC